CTCTTGTTATTCTAAGGCTAAGGTGGCTCCAATCAAATCACGTACCCCTTTCCTCAGTTGGAATTAACGGCCCATTTATGTAGGTTCAAATTAGCCAATTATATAAGAAATAAATTGCGAGAGATAAATATCAGCGACACCGAATTTGGTCTGAAACGAGGTATCCTTACAATGGATTCGTAATGGTAACAGTAAGATTGTGTATGTACAAACAGTCGCTGAAATCTAGCAAATGCAGGAGAAATATAACAGTTTGGGTCAGCAAATGTTAACCCTTTAATCACATTCCTGGGGACAGAATTCGGCTGACTTCTTGCTCGAGGCTTGACTTATGAAAAATTTGTGAGTGCTTTATCGTGGGTTTAAAGGGCCAAGTTGGCTGGGAACCAAATTAACTGGCCAGTGCAAAAGGCACATATTGCTCCTGTCGAAATTACGGTGAGCACCGCTCCAGTCATAGTCCCCCCCTTAGCCATTGACATTAATAGGTATTCTTCCTTACCCAAGCTGATAAACGTGACAAGGTTATGTTTAAATTTATAAGTAAAATGAATATCTCATATAATTTTCCCCATCCCCTGAAATACTGGCTACAGAGGATACAAGAAGAAACCTACAAAGGGATGAGATTAAATAATGATGGGCGGAAAAATTGTGAAGGCTCAATAATAAAAAGCTGGGGCTGTATTTAGAGGATGATGTAATTAGGTGCAGAGGCAGGGTTTCAAAATCTGAATTGGGGGAATATGCTAAGCACCCTATCTTGCTGCCCAAACTCATCACCTGACAACCTTTATTTCTTTAATGCCCATAATAACGTGATGCACGGTGGGGTAACAGGATACCTTAAACTGTAAATTTGGGAAACCTTCTGGATTCCACAAGGACGGCAAAGTGAAAAAAAAGGGTTATCAATCGTGTGTAATATGTCGCCGGGTGGATGCCAGAACCTACAGTACCCCCGGTCCTCCACCATTGCCAAAGGAACGCTTGCATTGGTAAACCCATTGATGTGACCGAGTGGGCTATAGTGGGCCAATCATTTAACCAGGTACTTCAATTTGGGTTCCTTGAAGGGGTAGTCTATTTACCTTTTACAGCTACTAGGGCTGTTCATCTAGAATGCCAGACTGGTCTGCAGAACAGTTCATACACGTCCGAAATTTGCAGCTAGGAGATCCTGCCAAGATTGATGATCTCAGATAATCCCAAACCAATTTTGTACGGGTGCTCAACACTTGATGGAATTAAATAGAGTGATGATGTACATCTTTGTTGACCCACGAGGGTGTCTGGAAATTTTATTCCCAGAGCCCCTTGGGAGGGAGGACCGTATGAAAGAATGAAGGTACAGTGAAAGATGTCTTCGTAAGGGGCTACACAGGAAAGAATTAATTGGAGGAATTCCGTGCAGTGTTGGTGGAGGCAGAGAATTTGGTAAACAATCGCCCCCTGTCATACATGAGCGACACTCCTGACGAGGAGATCCTGACTCCCTCTCACCTAATATGCGGACAAAAGGTTAGAAGCTGCACCTATCTATAGAGATAAATCCCGAGGGAAGTGATGAGGATTACAATAAACGTGACCGTGTTGAGTGATAAGTTCAAGATGTTAAATAAGGTAATTACTCATTGGTCCAATGTGTGGCGTAAAGAATATCTTCTTACACTACGTGAACACTTTTATGGTGCGCCAAAGGCAGTAAACCGACAGAGCATTCAACCAGGTGACATTGTGTTAATTGATACTGAACAACATCAAACATTGTGGCCTCTGGGCAAGGTAGTTACATTATAACCCAGATGCAACAAGGTGTTGTCAAAACGTCAAAGTGTTGTGTCGTGGTCAGGAAAGTTTGCGTACCATTAATAAATTAATTCCCTTAGAATTAAATGGTGTTCAATCCAGTGCAGATGGAAATCTAAGGGAAAGTGACACGAGTGATATTGAAGACACAGACCGAGTAATGCAAGAAGAAATTGTAGTAAGACCCACTAGGAAAACAGCAGCGCAATCTAGATAGGGCTGGAATCGTCTCCTGGAGGAAGACGCAATTTAAGTCGTCTAACAACGACTTCTGCCCGGCCGCAGTGTGGAAATTATTTAATTTCCGAAGCTATAGTGCCTAATAAGTGTTTAATGTGTTGATTTGGGTCAAAATGTATTTGTATTTTGAATGGAACCAACTGGGTTCCTGCTGCGCCTGCGCAGATGTGCGGGTTATAGGTCGAACGGGGCACGAGGTGGGGGGAGGTTTTAAATTTACATATGAGGAAGCGTGAAACATGGGATCAGAAATTGGCATTCACAGGGCCAAGGGATTAATAAAAGGCCCACTTCCTAAGGAAGTGTCAAATTTTCCTGGTAAAGTGAGGAAAACAGTTTTTACGTGACCCCCGGATAAAGTGGAAAAAAATGGAAAAAAGTAGGACCGTGGGTAGGGGGTGGCCACCAGGAATTTTTCCAAAGGGAAATTACCCGGATTTAAATCCTCCTCATGGGAGTGACCTCTAAGTGTAAATAATTATGAATTTAAAATCGTTTTGTGAATGGTAATAAAACAGTAAAAGCATTAATTAAGAAAAAAATCGGGAAGTGAATAAATCCCCCGCTCCGAGTGAACGCGTGATTCCGTCCCGGGAAAAGCAAGGTTTATGGAACACACTTCTAAAAAAGGGGGGACAAACCAACGGATACCCGTCCCTGGAATAAGAACCGTGTTGGGAGCAGGAAAACGAAAAGGTGGAAAATGGGGGTAAGGGCTCAATCCCCACATTAAGTAACCTTTTTCTAATTTATAGCAGACTGAACGGGCCTAAGGAAGTTTTTAATTGGATAGATAACAAAAAGGCAAAATACCGTGACGGGGCCCATCACAAATTACCCGCACAAAAAAGGGAGAACTTACAGACGTTTCACCCCCTTTGGACCTTTTGCAAAGTCACACGTGGGTGTTTTAATTGGAAGGGTTAGGGGGGGGTGCCAGCCACCACAAGTGACCCCCAGAGAAATCTGGAAAGTGGTGGGATTATGACAAATGTTTTTTCCTTGATGGGTAAAATCCATGTGTAACCAAAACCCCCCCCCCCTTATTCGTTAAACAAATATAATCTATACAGTCCACAATTAATTAGTACGCCGACTTGAGGGGGCTACCCAATTTATACTGGGCTCAGATAGATATGGATAAATTGTGGGGGGTCGAGGGGCCCACCTGCGTGACCAGAGGTGGGTTAAATTTTCTCACGTCTACATGGTGCTACGGGAAACATATCTTGTTGTCCCCAAGGAGATTCTCGATGCATAAGTTAGGACGACAAAAATCACTCCTATAAAATTTTTTCCTACTGCCCTCATTCCCCGCTCTAGTATATAAGAACTTGCTATATGCCATCAAAAGGCCTGAGGTTTAACAACCCCTCTTTACTGTCTCATTTTTAAAACACGTAAAACAACTTACAAATCCTGTGCAGGTTAACGTTTTACATGATCATTCATTAAAGAAATAGACAACAAGGAAACCCTTATGGAAATACGTTACAAAAAATTTTATTGCAGGGCTAAGAACCACATGCTCAAGTCAAAGATATTTATTGAAGGAAATGTTTTGCCACTGGGGGCTTAGAATCCTCACTGAAAAACCACCCAAAGTGAACATCTCCTAAATAAATCACTTGAAAATGTGCATATGCTTATTCCTACGATTTGTCATATTAACTAATCACCCAACAAAAGGGGCAGCGAATGATAACAAATTCCCACAAAGACAGCACACTACTCCAAAACCAAAATTTTAAAAATCTGTAAAGTAAAAGGACACAAGTGCAACAAATTACATTTTATTTTGGCAAAAGTTTCGCTCTCCAGAGCTTTTATCAAGCCATTACAAACAAACTGGGCACGAGGGTAATAAAGGCTCAATGAGGGGGCAAAAACTAGTGAGGTACCTTTTTGATGTTTACTAGTTGGTGGTAGTTGCACTTTTGTCCTTTTACTTTACAATATTGTCGGTAATTCTACCAACTTATTACATTCAAAAACTCTAAAACCTACTCACAATACAAAACATCCATACTTATGTACTGCACCTACTACATACATAAACACTTAACTCTGACATAAACCCTCCCTCAAACATCTCCTACCAAACCTCAACAGAACACTATGACCATAACACAAGGCACAGATCACTCCTTTGATGTTCCTCCGTGTCCATTGCACACTATGCAAAAACTCACGCACATAAAAGGCCCTAAAATCTGGAATTCAGTACCTGTGAATATAAAAGAAACACTGTCTGTTTAAAATTCAAGTCTCTTCTCAAAAATCACTTAACTCACCCACAACTAAATAAATACTGAATAATTGTATCCTCATAAATTGTATCTCATATAATTACCTCATTACCGTAACTCCATAAATGTCAACCTGTGACCCAATCAAACTTTGTTACTATTTAAACTTCATTACCTAACAATAATCCATTCTACTGATTACACAGCAACAGAGTAAATGACCATATGACCTGTCTTTGTAATACTCATTTGTACTAAATTGTTATCTGTTTTACAATAATTTTTGTACCACTGAATATATCATTGCTTAGTTAATCTTAAGTTAATTTTAAGCCTGCCCATAATGCTCTGCATACAAGGGCTTTGGCATGCTGCACTTTAAAAATTGTATTCCTTGTACTTCTCTGTATCATGTTCAAATTAATAAAATAAATAAATAAATAAATAAATAAATAACATACCTGTGCTGGTACAATACTCTATTTGGCTTCATTGGCTATCTGATGAAGCACAGTAGGAATGAATCTACTCTCTATAACTACTGTGGTTCTTTGAATAACTAAAGCACCTGTCTGTGTTGATTTTGCTGAATATAGTACTATACATATAAAAAAGGTACACTACATCATCTAGAGCATATGCAACTCATGCATGGTATTAATCTTAATACACTTTTATTATCTGAAATGGAAGATAACAGACCTGCTCTTCCGGTGCAACTTGGCAAGAAACACGGAACTCCCATGCTCGACTTTCAATCATTTTTGAAGCAGTTGTAGTAGTAACAGAAGAATCACTATTTAAACTATTTGCAGATACCAAGTTGCACACTTTCAACACAGATGCATTTTTAGTCAATCTGTAAAGAAACAATACATTACTTTATGAAAGCTCAAACTAACACTGCCTCAAACCCAACAATGCTGTATTAATTGATTACTGATACATGCTTTAAAAACAACTTTGCTTCTAGTAATAATGGTAGAATTACCAATAAAATGTTAGGTAATGGACACGTATGTAACTAATGTGCCATTTTATTGTGCCAATGTTTTACTCTCCAGGACCCCAATGAAATAAGTCACTGACTATTTTGAGTTATCCTAGGTAATATACATGATGAATAATAACTGTATTTGTGTACCTGTACCTAAATAAATTACCTTGACAAAGTTCCTGTTACATAGTTGTATCTGTGTCCATTTACCTAACAAACTTTGTCTTGTATCGTTCCACATTTTCTTACAAGAGATATTTACTTTCAACACCATAAAAGTATAATAATAACCATAACAGACCACATAATGGACCAATATACTAGCCCCCCTTAAATCAGGGATAATCACAGACAGCACTACTGACCACTACCCAACCTTCCACTTAACAAACATTGGTAAGCCACACACTCGAATACAACAGTGTTTTCATTTAGACTCCATGACGAGGCCTCAATAAGGAATTTCACAGCAGACCTAAGAGAGTGTTGACTGGCCTACAGAATTCTCCAATGCCAATGGGTATTGACGATTGGACAACATTTTTCTTAACAAAATGCTTAGACTATACAACAAACATTGTACTAATAAAAACGAAACCACGAATAAACGGCTTGGTTGTCCATGGCTAACCAGAAGAATTCTAAAACCCATTGATAAGAAACACCAATATGAAAAGCAATATAGACAGGGCTTAATACACAAAGATATTCTTAAACAATATTCAACAGTTCTCACCAAATTAATAAAGAAAGCCAAACAACTGTACTACTCCAGCAGATTCACTGACACAAGAGGAGATATAAAAAAAAGACCTGGAAAACACTTTCCCAGATTCTGGGGACCCACAAACTGAAAAAAAAAACAAGAATATTGTTCTAACTAAACCTCATGAAACACCATTGCATCCCACTGATACAGCTAACAAGATAAACGACTTCTCAAACATAGGATCTAATCTCGCCAGTAAAATTCCACGTACTAATGCCCGTGCCGGGGACTACCTAGATGGGAATTTCCCAAATTCCTTCTATCTTATACCAACTGAGCTCACGGAAGTCACCATGATCATAAAGCCACTTAAAAGTAACTCGGGGAATCTGTCTCATGTCCCACCATTATTGCACAAGCGAGCGGCCCATGTCCTTTCGCATGCTATTACATTACTTTTTAACAAGTCACTAGAAACTAGCACTTTCCCGACACTACTCAAGACAGCAAGGGTTACACCAATACATAAAGGTGGTGACCCTACAGACGTAAACAACTATAGGCCAATATCAAACTTACCATTGCTATCCAAAATCTTCGAGAAACTCGTGCACAGGATTATTATTATTATAATCAAGGGGGAAGCACTAAACCCGTAGGATTATACAGCGCCTATGGGGGGATGGAAGGCATTCAGGCTTAATTCAGGGAACTGGAGCACAGATCCAATTCCCTAGATCAAGAGCCCCTCACCAGCGTCAAGGAGCCTTCCTTGAGGGGTCGTGCACAGGAGACTATATTCATTTATAACCACAAAACATACTCAACCCCTGCCCCCCTCAAGGAAGGTTCCTTGATGTTGGTGAGGGGCTCTTGATTTAGGGAATTGGATGTGCCCCAGTTCCCGAATTAAGCCTGAATGCCTTCCACATCCCCCCCCCCCCCCAGGCGCTGTATAATCCTCCGGGTTTAGCACTTCCCCCTTGATTATAATAATAATAATAATCAACCCCTGCCAATTTGGATTCGGGAAAAATAAAAGCACTAATGATGCAATTATAAAAATGCTAGACCTGCTTTACATAGCATTGGAAAATAAGGAATATCCACTAGGAATTTTTATTGACCTAAGAAAAGCGTTTAAACACAGTAGACCACGGCATCCTACTCCACAAAATTGACCACTGTGGTATAAGAGGCCATGCGCTTGCATATTTTAAATCCTACCTTTCTAATAGGTATCAGTATGTCACCATTAAAGACACAGCCTCATCAATACGGCCACTTGATACTGGAGTTCCGCAGGGAAGTGTCCTTGGACCCCTGCTCTTCCTCATTTACATCAATGATCTTCCAAACATCCCAACACCTGAAACCCATTTCTCTTTGCTGACGACACGACTTACGTCATCTCCCACCCTAATCTTGCCACCCTCAACACCATTAACGAGGAGCTGCTCAAAATATCGACTTGGATGACAGCCAATAAACTTACACTTAACACTGGCAAAACCTACTATATTATGTTTGGTAGCAGAGCAGGTGTTGCGCAACTTAACATTAGGATCGACAACACTCTAATTGCCAGACATAATGAGGGCAAATTCCTTGGCTTATACCTAGACAACAACCTAAATTTCAGCACCCATATCCAACACATAACAAAAGTAGTATCCAAAACGGTGGGGATCCTCTCCAAAATACGATACTACGTACTGCAAACTGACCTTCTCACACATTACCATTCACTTATATATCCATACCTCACCTATGCTATCTGTGCTTGGGGTTCAACTGCAGCAACACACCTGAAGCCAATAATAACCCAACAAAAAGCCCAGTAAGAATAATCACTAAATCCCATCCCTGGCAACCCCCCCCCACTCTTCATAGATCTAAACTTACTCCCTGTTCAGAACATCCACACTTACTACTGTGCAATCTATATCTACAGGACCTTAAATTCCAATATTAACCTTGACCTAAAACGCTTTCTTGATAGTTGTGACAGAATCCACAGGCATAACACCAGACACAAACATCTCTATGACATTCCCCGTGTTCGACTAAACCTTTACAAAAATTCAATGTATTTCAAAGGACCTAAAATCTGGAACACCCTACCTGAAAACTCCAGAACTGCAGACACATTCATCACTTTCAAAACTACAGTTAGAAAACATCTTATCTACCTGATCCACCCCAACTAACATGATAACCACCTGGTGGTTCACTCACCCACTGACTATAAACCCAGAAATACTAATCTTAATCTTAAAATATTAAAATAATAGTCAAAAGTTTGCCTATGATACTCCAATATAGACACCTTGTAATTGTGCCAAAACAAAAGCATTCACATTGCTAAACTCACAAATTATGATGTAGTCACTTAAGCCTTAATACCATAATCTGTAAGGTTAATCTAAGAATTAATCTAAGTCTGCTCGAAATGCCTAGTCATGCTAGGTGTCCTAGTGGCCCCCTCTGTAATTAGTATTTTATAACATGTAAACCACACAATACCCAAAACCTGTAAACCCCACATTGTAACCATTATAGAGAATAAACTTGAATTGAATTGAACTGAATAAGCGTGTCATCAATACACTGTATGTACTCTCCCGGCCCTTGTTACTTTAAAAAACAGTCTCCTTTTTTTGCTGCATAAGAATATCAGAAAGAAGAACACTGCAGCAGGGCCTACTGGCCCATTAAGGCAGGTCCAAGTCTCCTACCAACTTAACCCCAATGACCCAACCTAGTCAGGTCAGGTCACATCCACTTTGGGAAGGAACAGGGGCATCAGACCTTTTATCACAAGCTAGTCAGGTCCAACTCACACCCACGATTATGCGCACAGTTTTGGTTACTGTATTTCAGAATGGGATATAAATCACGGGAAAACATACAAAGGAGAATGACAACACCTTTTACTTATTTTTAAAACTACACAACGTTTTAGCCTCTATGAAGCCACTCGGGAGTTTGTTCTACTCATCCACAACTCTTTTACCAAAACCCAGTGCTTTCCTACATCCTTCCTGAATCTTGAATTTTTCCAACTTAAAACCCATTGTTTTGAGTCCTGTCTTGGCTAGATATATTTAGCATGCAATTTACATTCCTTTTGTTTATCCCTGTTTTCCCCTTTAAAACACCTCAATCATATCCTCCTTAATTCTATGCCTTTCAAAGAGTGCAGATTCAGGACCCTTAGTCTATTCTCATGGGAAAAAGTTTTCTGATACAGGGGATCAACTTTGTCATTCTCCTTTGTATGTTTTCCAGTGAATTTATATCCCTTCTGTAATGCAGTGACCAAAGCTGTGCAGCATAATCCAAATGAGGCCTAACCAAAGAATAATAGATTTGAAGAACAACCAGAGGACTCCTATTATTTAGCTTCTGAATATGAAACCAAGGATTCTTGTTTGCTTTATTGCAAATACTTTTGCACTGCTGACTTGGTTTTAGATTACTGCTAACAGAACTCCCAAATCCTTTTTGCAATCATTATTTAATTTATATGTGGCAAAGGTTATTTTCCTGTCTAATGCTTAGAACTTAGCATTTGTCTATATTAAGCTGCATCTGCCCCTTCTCTGACAACTGCATCAGTCTATTCAAATCTTCCTGGAGTGCTCTAATGTCCTCGTCAGAATGAATTTTTACAGCCTATTTTGGTGTCATCAGCAAACTTGCTTATGTCACTGTTTATTCCCCCATCTATGTCGCTTATGTAGATTGTGAGGGAACAAGGGGTCCAACACTGATCCCTGTAGAACAAACCCCTCGTGACACTTCCCCACTCTGATTTCTCCCCATTTATGCAAACCCCCCTGCTGCCTACCTGTCAATCACACCTCTAGCCAGGAAAATATTTCTCCTGTTCCATGTGCCTTAATGAAGCCTTACTAAGTCCATATATACTATCATATTCATTATCATGATCTACCTCCCCAAATACACGTACCTTAGTGAAAAAAAGTTAATAATAATTTGTAAGGTATGAATGCACTTTCGTAAAACCATGCTGAGATTCATTAATCAATTTATGCCTTCCATGATGGCTACGAATTGCCTCGGCAATTATCGATTCCATAAATTTTCCCACCATGAAGCTTAGGCTAACTGGTCTATAGTATGAAGC